CATCACTATAAGAAGGGCAGTTTTCTTTCGAGTACGTAAGGCGAATTTGAGAAATGGCTTCCATGATTTCTTCCTCCGCCGTGGCCACCGTGAGCCGCCGCACCGGGGCTCAGGCAAGCATGGCCGCGCCTTTCACCGGCCTCAAGTCCACCTCCGCCTTCCCCGCCACCAGGAAGTCCACCAACGACATTACTTCCATCGCAAGCAACGGTGGCAGAGTCCAGTGCATGAAGGTTTCGATCTTCCCTCCATCCATCCACTTAGATCTCTTTATTTTTTTTATTGAACATAATTTGGCTAACTTAGGTTGGGTAAAAAATATGGTGTAGGTGTGGCCACCAATCGGCAAGAAGAAGTACGAGACCCTCTCCTACCTTCCTCCATTGTCGGAGGAGTCGTTGGCCAAGGAGGTCGACTACCTGCTTCGCTCAGGATGGGTTCCTTGCTTGGAGTTCGAGACGGAGGTCCGTTTTCTTCGGTCTTTTTTTACGAGTAGTATTATGTTATAGTACGAGCTGAGTACTGAAACTCCTGCTTGTGTGTGCGTCGATATACGCGCAGCATGGTTTCGTGTACCGCGAGAACCACAGGTCGCCGGGGTACTATGACGGAAGGTACTGGACGATGTGGAAGCTTCCCATGTTTGGGTGCACCGACTCGTCCCAGGTGATGAAGGAGCTCCAGGAGTGCATCAAGGAGTACCCCCAGGCCTTCGTCCGCATCATCGGATTCGATAACAAGCGCCAGGTGCAGTGCATCTCCTTCATCGCCTACAAGCCCAAAGGATACAACTAAAACTCGTTGACCCTCCCATTCCTACGTACCACCATAATAATAGTACTTATGGGAAATAGGTCGTGGTCAAGTGGCCGTGCTGCTGATTTTCAGTTTGTAGTTCTCAGGTTCGAATCCAATAGAAGATGCTTATTTTCCCCCTCTTCTAGTAGTATCTTGTAACAGGTTTCTGTAAAAAAATAACAAAGCCTCCTGTTACAGGTATAATAATATAATAATATTTTGCTATACTATAGTTTGTGTTTAAAATATGCTCACTTATTGAATCGGCTTAGCTTCTCCCCATCTTTCTTTCTTTTGTTTGGTGGTTGTGTAAAATTTGCATATACTATAGTTTGTGTTTAATATGTTTACTTATTGAATCGGCTTAGCTTCTTCCCATCTTTCTTTCTTTTGATTGGTTGATGTTGTGTAAAATATGGATGCTTGGTAGTCTAGATAAGGATGCTTGGTAGTATCGCAAATGAGTGGTTATTGATGGTTGCTATTACTTTCAAAACCAACATCTATAAGGTGAGAATTAGTATGATATTTGTATATCAATAACAAATAACGACATTTTGAATATTAAATATTATTATAAATTCAATTTTAATTTCAAAAAATAAAGTTGGTATCTCAACTTTAATCCCATTTTTTTTATACCGGTATATACTAAATAGGGAAAGGCTAACATGCTAACACTTTTTTTGTTAGTATGATGCTACTAGCTCCAGCCAATATGCACATTTTGTTTGTATGACTTTTCCATTTAAATGAGTTGACCACATTGATGAGGGGAAGGGAAAGGAGGGACACACTTGGTATTATGAAAATTTGGGGAAGTGGAGGAGGGATCAACCGTCCTTTTTGCATTAAATGTGAGGAAGGGAGGGAGACCAATGAACCATCAAAGTAGGCAAAAAACTCCTCAAAATAAGTCAGAACCTCCTCAAAGTATATCAGAACCTCAAAGAAGGGCCTAACCTACACAAAGTAAGTCAGAACCTCAAAGCATGCTAGAAGTTTTTCAAAGTAGACCAGAAACTCCTCAAAGTAGGTCAGAACCTCCTCATAGTTGGCCAGAACCTCAAAGTAGTCTAGAAGTTTCTTAGTATTGGACCTGTTTGTAAACTTTTAAAAGTTCAGGTACCAAATTGTAAGATATAAATTTCAGGTACTAAAATGTAATTTTATATCGATATTTTTCAGACTCAAATATAAAAAAAATTAATTTTAGGTACTAAATAATAATATCTATTAAGTTCAGGTACCAAAACATAAATGAAACATAGAAAAGAAACGACAATAAAAGGGAGAGGAGAAGGGAAGAGGAAGGGATAGTTACTATAATACTCTTATAGTAAGTGTTAGTATGGTGTTAACACTTAAAGACGTTAGCAACCTATCCATTTCTACCAAATAAGAACTTAATTAATTCCCTTCAAAATCACAAATTAAATACACAAACGAAATTATTTGCTAACAATAGCCTTGTAAATCATTCTCAAAATATATAAAAACAAACAATGTGCCAACACTCGTGCAAAATAAATGAGAAATAAACACAAGTATAATAACAAGGATTAAAAAAAGCGTACCTATCGCCAGTTCGACCAGAAAAGCCTCATATCAAAAGCAAAACTGGTAGGTGATATTTAGTGGTTAAATCATTTAAATCACGATTTTAGCATAAAATATCATATTGCTGACTTTTCCGGTACGACCTCCGGTACGGTATTTCAATCCTTCAACAAACTAGAAAAATCTGGTACCTAAAATGCACATTAACAAACTAAAAATACAAACTGAAACATGAGACGACTAAGCAACTCATAAACATTCTACAAGTAACAGTAGGAACTTGATATGATTTGTCAAATAGTGAGATATGTATAATATTTTTATAAGGGTGATATAAGTTTACTTTTTTGTGGTTGATGTACTACCTAAGGTATTCGAACCTGGGATCTCCAGGTTCTTGCTAGTGGTATTACCACTAGACTATTTGGGAGGGATGAAATACAATTAAGTAACCATGTTGGCGATTGTGGGTATGCTAATAGTGAGTGAGAAAGTCTATTTGGGAGGGATGAAATACACACTAGCTTATGTTTCAGTATTAATCGACATTTCAGCATATACCTATCTCGATCATGTAATCCCTATGCCAAATAATAATTGATATTCAATCCTAATTCCATGAAATAAACACGTATTCAGTCATATCAAATATCGACAATTTTAATACAACATTAATCTCAAATATCGGTACCAAACTTCCAACCCTTTACTTAAGTAATCATGTATGTATTTATGGAGTTGGATTACTAACTATAATGAACTTAAAATCTAAACTTATGAGGTTTTGTTTTCGAATCATCACAATATATTACCATTCTGTTTGATTCTAATTAATACTGAATTGCATAATACATTCTTTCAATTAATGCCAAAATTACCTTCAAGCCCAGGGCACCACTGCTATGAACGCGAGACAAGCTACCAACATCCAGGGATGGAAGACACCTCCGGCCGGAATCTTCAAGATGAACAGTGACGTCGGGGTGTTAAAGTCGTCTGGGATTGGAATTGGATGTGTTTTCAGAAATTGGAATGGTGATTTTCTGGGCGCAATAGCTGGGAAGGAGACGACTAATTGCAGACCAGTAGAGGCAGAAGCAAGAGCTATCATAATTCACAGCTGGTTTAAGAGAAGCAAATCGAAGGGGGTGGAGTCCTCTGGTGGTGGAATCTGATTGCCTAAAGCTTTCGGAGAAAGACGAGGAGGATCACACTGAGCTAGGGGTGTGGTGCAAGGAGATCAGAAGTTTGGCGGAAGTCAATTCGACAATTGCCGGTAGGAAAGTTGAGTGGGCTTTTGTGCCCAGAAGTTCTAATTCAGTGGCCCACTGTCTAGCCCACATGAATTCTCACGAAAATCAAATGTGTATTTGGACTGGCTGTCCACCCAACTCCATTAGGAGTCTGTTAGAGGCTGAAAAAGCCCAATTTTTGGAGATTTAAGTAATACATAACAGGGTTTCCCATAAAAAATATAATGCCAAAATAAGCATGCATATATGTCAGCATAAGCTTATAGTACAGTACACTCGTCGAGTTTTGTTATTTAAATCATAAATTAACCGAAGTTTGAGACATAATATACTATACCCTAACCTCTAATGGGTGAACTCTAGTCCCCAATTATCTAATCCAAATCATAAAATTAATTTAATTTAAACTGAAAATCAACGATTGAGTGATAGTTAGAAGGATTTAGTTTAACGTGAAAGTGTGATCCTTCTTGAAATCCTTTCCTACAAATTTTTTCTTGTATGGGTGAGCTGTAGAACATTATGGGAGAGACAGGGAGTAGGGGTTGCATGTAGGGATGGCAATGGGTAGGGTCGGGTGCGGGTTTACCCTATACCAACTCCTAACCCGCCGGGTAGAGCTTTCTAAAATACCCGACCAAATAACCACCGGGTATGAAAATTATATAACCATACCCTACCCACCGGTTAACCACGGGTATTCGGGTAACCATGGGTACGAATCCTAAACTATGAACTTATACACATATATGCACATACATACTGTTGTCCATTAAAAATTCTCGATACTTCTTTATAAAAAAAAATTCTCAATACTTGTAACTGTTCGAGCGTCAACAATCTACACAAATAAAAACAGCAAACACATAATAATTGTTCTTACTTCTACAATCCACACAAACATAATAATCGTCTACATCTTCATCATCAATAATGGTAGATAAACTCAATTTCTCAAGCTAATCTAAATTTCTCAAGGGAAATTGACCCTTTGGTTAGCGGGGCGGGTATAACGGAGCGGGTATTATCGATTACCATACCCGTACCCTACCCTTTATTTTGAAACCGGGTATTACCCGTACCCGCCCCTTAACCCGTCAAAGCGGGTAATTACCCTCGTTGACCGGTTATGGTCGGGTAGGGTACCCATGGTTACGGGTTGGATTGACATCCCTAGTTGCATGATGAGACAAAACTATATGGGCCGAAAGGATGAACTCAGTCAGGATTACGGCACAATGGGCTGCTCCAGCCCATGCAAAAGCGAATCCGACGAAAGAAACCCATTTCTGCAAAAGCATCCACCCAGTTTGGGCCTGGCTGTGAAGCCTTTGTCCTCTTTCACCCTATAGATAGAGAATGAGATAAGATAATGGGCGCTCCTCGCCACGTGGCACTGCCATTGTGGTGCATCTTTAACCATTAACGATGAGGCTCTCCATTTTTCAAAACGAAACACAAAAGCCAAATCCTTCACCCATCCTGTGGCCAGAAATGGGCTAACAATGTCGTGAACCCAATCCAAACCGACGGTGAGATCGACGACTCAACCAGTCATCGACCGTCGGATGGTAGGAAAAGAGAATTGGGTCAGAGCACTATAAGAAGGGCAGCTCTGTTTTGGGGGTGAGGCAGAGAAAGAAGAAAAAAAGCAAGCAGCTTTACTTAGTAGTGAAACCCAGAAGGCAGAGCAAGCCGAATTGTAGAAATGGCGTCCATGATTTCGTCCTCCGCCGTGGCCACCGTGAGCCGCACCGGCGCTCAGGCCAGCATGGTCGCCCCTTTCACCGGCCTCAAGTCCACCGCCGCCTTCCCCGCCACCAGGAAGTCCGTCAACGACATTACTTCCATCACAAGCAACGGTGGCAGAGTCCAGTGCATGAAGGTTCAGCTCAACTTTCACTTTAATTTCGATCTTAATTCCTCCTCTCTCTTTGTTTCATTGAACATAATTAGTTAATCAGATATGGTTGGGTGAAAAATTGGTGTAGGTGTGGCCACCACTGGGTTTGAAGAAGTACGAGACCCTCTCCTACCTTCCCCCATTGACGGAGGAGCAGTTGGGCAAGGAGGTCGACTACCTCCTCCGCTCCGGATGGGTTCCTTGCTTGGAGTTCGAGTTGGAGGTTCGCGTTCTCCGGTCTTTTTTTTTTCCGGAGTATGAGTAGTAGTACGAGTAGCATTATGTTGTACTGAAATTTGTTGTGTGTCTGTATATGCAGCATGGTTTCGTGTACCGTGAGAACAACAGGTCGCCAGGGTACTACGACGGAAGGTACTGGGTGATGTGGAAGCTGCCCATGTTCGGGTGCACCGACTCGTCGCAGGTGCTGAAGGAGCTCCAGGAGTGCGTCAAGGAGTACCCCCAGGCTTTCGTCCGTATTATCGGATTCGACAACAAGCGTCAGGTGCAGTGCATCTCCTTCATCGCTTACAAGCCCGAAGGATACAACTAAAACTCGTCGACCTCCAATTCCTACGTACCATGCCCACCAAAATGAAGGGTCTTTTGGCTTTGTTTTTTTTTTTTTTTTTTAAATCCCTTTTGCGTCTTTCTTATTCTTGTTGTTTTTATTTTGTTTTTCCAGAAATTTTCACTGTTTTCCCGTGGTTGGATTCGGATGTTGAATCGAACGGTTGAGATATGTTCAAATAATAATGGTAGTACTTTGCATTTACTATAGTTTGTGTTTAATTTGTTCACTTATTGAATCGCCTTAGCTTCTCCCCATCTTCTTCGCACTCGTGCTAAGCTAGTTTGGATAAGGGATGGGATGGTTGGTTCTATTGCCAAATGAGTGGTTGTTGATGGTTGCTACTTGCTACTACTTCCAACAAAAAAACTACAGGGCTTTCCCATGTAGCTCATGGATTTAAAATTGTAAAATTTTGTTTTCAAATCTTCACAATATCATGATTCATGACTCATGAGTCCAGTCTCCAAAATCTCCAACACCCGTGACACAATTTCAGGCCATCTCCAATGCTAGTCTCCAATTTCAACATTTTTACTTCAATGCTACCATCTCAAAATTTGGGGGCCTCTAGTTTTTCTTTAATTAAAAATGTACTTATTATCATCTTAATCTAATTTGTTCAAGTTAATTTTTGTATAGTTCTTCATCATTTTTAAATACAATTTTTTTAATAGACTTATTTTAAATTCCGGTACTAAAAATTATTTTGGCAAAAAATGATTGGCCTCATTTTTCCTTACACACAACACTTGGAAATGATAAAGGTGAAGGAGTTCACATAGTAGTTGAAATGATACAACTCAGAGGTTACACACAACACTTGATAATGATAAATGTTAAAGATTACACACAACACTTGAAATGATAAAGATGAAAAAAATAACATGTCAATAATCGCGCATAAGAGAATAGTAATTTCCGTAATCTCTTCCTTCACTTTCATCTCCTCCTCCACTTTCATCTCCTCTTTCGGTCCGACTTGCGTTGGATGAATAGTTGGAAACAGAGTTGGGATCATCTTGATCATACCCTAGAAGCACGTTGTGTTTATTTCTCCAATACTTCCTCTTTCTTGGTGTCAACTTCGACAAGTCCCACTATCTTTTCTCAAGTTCCCACTTTTCTTCCATATCCCTTTTCTCAAGATCACGCTTTTCTTCATCTCGCTTCGATTTTTTCCCCTTGGAATTCCATCCCTTTTCGCTCATACTCAGTCCTCGAAGCATGCCTCTCCTTCAACTCACTTTCATCGTTCGTGGCCCTGCGAGATCTTGGGATGTTGCCACAATTAATGATATATTATTGACATGCATTATATTGGCACAACATGATAATCGAGGATGAACATGTTGATTCTGACAATGAGATGGAAGATATTATTGATTATGAGGTCCATGACCAACAACCAACTAATGTCGACAGACATATTCCAACTAAGTACTTGGCTAGGAATAATAGACTTCGTGCTGCACCAACACATCATGGGCTTCTTCAGGATTTGGTCGAGCATACTTGGAACTTGCATGAAAATAATTAATCATTTTTGTTGCTTGGTATCGGTGTTGGGATGCTTTGTAATTCCATTAAAGTTGTAGTTGGCGACAATTTGTTTTATAATTCAAGAACACATTTTCATTTTAATAATATATTTTTCCTTCTTACATCGGTCTAGTTTTTGTTTACAGACAACTTGAAAATGATAAACATAAATTTTAAACATAATGGATTTAATTAATGTCATTTTATCAAATAAATATACTTTTAAATATTTTTAAGATATCAATACTAGAAAAGTAGGAAAAAAGAAGTTAAACTAAATATTAATTCAAACAACCATTAAATCCCTAATTATTAAATTCCTAATTAATAAACCCCTAATTAAACCACAAAATATATGAAAAAAAGTCTAGTGGGGGACAACAGCCAGCCCGGTCCCCGTTTCTCCTGGGAATTGTCATTCCCTTTCCCACATATGGCGATTATCGCCATTAATGGCGGCTCCATTGGAGTTAGCCTAATCACCAATAACATTCCAAAATATTCGAAAGAATAACACTGAAAGGCCATCACCAGGAGTGTTTCGGACTAAATTACACATATTTTACCCATATGTCAAATACCAAATGATTTTAGTGTGCAAAACTCGTTGTTGAGCCAAAATTTGTCAACACCGAGTTCAACTCACTTTAACCGGGCCGACGTAGGTCGAATATCCATTGATTTGGGTTCAATTGTCATAAGATGATTAATTAGAACCTTAATGGCACAAAAAATCCTCCAAGCTTCAACGATTTAAGCGTGCAAAACTTGTTGAGCCAAATTCTTCAACACCGGGTTCAACTCGCTTTAACCATGTCGAAGTAGGTGGAATACCCATTGATTTGGGTTCAATTTGGATTCAATTGTCACAAGTTAATTAATCAGAACCTAGTTTAACTCGTCCAACAAAATCCACAATTACAAAAACGTGTGAAACATGTTGCCAACGCAATTTTGTCCACATCGGTTCACCCCGCTTAACAAAGTGCATGCCTGACTTAATTCCATGTAAAAATGTTCCCGAAGCAAAACCCGCCAATACCTGGTTCAACTCTCCCAACATAATCCACACAAGCTCAATCTCGTATATGAGGAAAACATGTAAAATATTATGCAAAATTCATCAACATCACGTTTTGGCAACCTTTGGGAAGCCCAAAATTCGTCAACACATATTCAACTCACTCTAACCGGGTCGAATACCCATTCATTTGGTTCAATTTGGGTTCAACTGTCATAAGTAAATTAATTAGAACCTTATGAAAAAATAACTCCTTCAAGATTTGGTTAATTACAAAAAGAGCACCCCTTATGATGTGACTCTATGAAATAGTAACTTCGAACTTGTTCTTTTAAAGAGTTAGTAATTAATAAGTAAATTAATTAGAACTTTAATGACACAATAACTCCTTCAAGATTTGATTAATTACAAAAAGAACACCCCTTATAATGTGACTCTATAAAATAGTAACTTTGAACTTATTCTTTTAAAGCGTTAATTAATTAATCAACCCATTGAATCAAACAAACCTGAGTGAACCGGCCAGACTACGTAACGGCACAACTGCTGTTGTGGGACAATCTAAGTACCATATCGAAAATACAAGGGAAGGAACCCTTGTATATTAGTGTCCACCAAGCTCATTAGTACGAGGCCTTTTGGGGAGGACACCCAAGAGTAAAACTGTGTGGGTTTGGCCCAAAGCGGACAATATCGTATTAATTGAGCTCCCTGGTTATGACAAGTGGTATCAGAGTCTGGTTTGGGTTCGGGGCGGTGGACGTCAGTTTGGTGGGACTCTCATTCGGTGACCTCAAGATTTGAGATCTGCATATGGTTTGGTGGATCCAGGAGAGATCTACATTTGGGTTTGGCGAATCAAAAAAAAGTTAGCGTCTGTCTGGTGGATCTAGGAGAGATCCACGTTTGTTTGGCGGATCAAAGAGAGTTTCGCGTATGGAAAAATCCTCGTAGCGAGAAGCCCATCGATACAAGGTGTCTGGCGGATCAAGATAATACCTGAGACGAGAGCACGAAGTTCGTGGTCCTTGTCTTGAGGGGAGGATTGTTATGGGACAATCCAAGTACCACCTCGGAAATACAAGAGAAGAAACCCTTGTATATTAGTGTCCACCAAGCTCATTAGTATGAGGCCTTTTGGGGAGGACACCCAAAAGTAAAAACCGTGCAGGTTTGTGAGCAGCCCAGTTCGACAATTACTGTAACAGCACCACAGGATTCCCAATATCCATGAGCTATATGGGAAAATCCTGTAGTTTTTTGTTGGACGTGGAAGTAGTAGCGACTAGTAACCATCAACAACCACTCATTTGGCAATAGTACCAACCATCCTCATCCAAACTAGCAAGCATCCTTATTCAACACAACATCAACCAATCAAAAGAAAGAAAGATGGGGAGAGCCGATTCCATAAGTGAACTGATTAAACACAAAAGTACAGTATATGCAAAGTACTATTATTATTATTTGAACAATTCTCATCCGTTGGATTCAACATCCGAATCCAGCCACGGGGAAAACATTGAAAATTTCGAAAAAAACCCAACAAGAATAAGAAAACGCAAAAGGTGGACAAAAAGGCCTGGCATCCACATATGTAACACTTCGTCAAAACAATGCCAAAAGACCCTTTCATTTTGGTGGGCGTAGGTACGTAGAAATTGGAGGTCGGCGAGTTTTAGTTGTAGCCTTCGGGCTTGTAGGCGATGAAGGAGATGCACTGCACCTGACGCTTGTTGTCGAATCCGATGATGCGGACGAAGGCCTGGGGGTACTCCTTGACGCACTCCTGAAGCTCCTTCAACACCTGCGACGAGTCGGTGCACCCGAACATGGGCAGCTTCCACATCACCCAGTACCTTCCGTCGTAGTACCCTGGAGACCTGTTGTTCTCACGGTACACGAAACCGTGCTGCATATATCGACACCCAAGTTTCAGTACGCACATTATAACATAATACTACTCGTATTTGAAAAACCGGAGAACGAACCTCCAACTCGAACTCGAGGCAAGGAACCCATCCGGAGCGGAGCAGGTAGTCGACCTCCTTGCCCAACTGCTCCTCCGTCAATGGGGGAAGGTAGGAGAGGGTCTCGTACTTCTTCAAACCCAGTGGTGGCCACACCTACACCAATTTTTACCCAACCACCATATATGATTAACTAATTATGTTCAATAAAAACAAAAAGAGCGGAGGGAAGGAAGAAATTAAAGTGAAGTTGAGCTGAACCTTCATGCATTGGACTCTGCCACCGTTGCTTGTGATGGAAGTAATGTCGTTGACGGACTTCCTGGTGGCGGGGAAGGCGGCGGTGGACTTGAGTCCGGTGAAAGGGGCGACCATGCTGGCCTGAGCGCCGGTGCGGCTCACGGTGGCCACGGCGGAGGACGAAATCATGGACGCCATTTCTACAATTCGGCTTGCTCTGCCTTCTGGGTTTCACTACTAAGTAAAGCTGCTTGCTTTTTTCCTTCTTTCTCTGCCTCACCCCCAAAACAGAGCAGCCCTTCTTATAGTGCTCTGACCCAATTCCCTTTTATTACCATCCGACGGTCGATGATTGGTGGAGGAGTCAATCTCACCGTCGGTTTGGATTGGGTTCACGACACTGTTAGCCCATCTCTGGCCACAGGATTTGGTTTTCGAAATGGAGAGGCAGAGGGCCTCATCGTTAAGATTAAGATGCCACCACAATGGCAGTGCCACGTGGCAGTGAGCGCCCATTATCTTATCTCATTCTCTATCTATCGAGGACGCGAGGGGAGGGTGAAAGAGGACAAAGGCTTCACAGCCAGGCCAAAATGGGTGGATGCTTTTGCTAAAATGGGTTTCTTTCGTCGGCTTGCTTTTTGCATGGTTAGTGGCTGACTGGCTGCAGCGCCCATTTCGTACACCATACAGTTTGTCTCTGTGATAGAACCCTAGGATTAGGTTCTATCGGGATTAGGGATTTGATGCAACAATAGAATCACCGAGATGGTGACCACGTTGCTTTTGGGGAAAAGAAGTGGAAAAGGGGATAGAAATGGCTAGGGAAAGGGGAAGAAGGTGCTGGTCGCCAGCAGCAGCCAGAAGAAAAGGAAGAGGAGGGCTGCGCAGCCAAGGAAAGAGAGGGGGGGAAGTGGGGTCGGCAGAGGGGAAGGGAGAAAGAAGAATAGATTAGGCTTTTTGATTAATTCTTTGCTTAACCCTAATTCTAACTTACAATAGTTTATATAGAAATGACTAATTTCCTACTACTACCCAATCTATAAATTATTCTCGAATAGTCCTCATAATCCGAATAATAATAAACCGACAATTAATCAAGTACTAAAATATAAGTTTCTATCATCCCCGCTTCCTTCGAAAATCAACCTTGTCCCCAAGGTTGATCCTCTAGCTCACTAGGTCTCCTCTTCATCATTTCCGGCATCCTCAGCATAGTCCTCTGCGTCATCCTCCCATCGTCCCACTAGCATCATCAAATCTTCCTTGGGGCATTGGTGCCCAATGGTGAATCGGCCATCACACTTGAAGCACTTGCCTTCCCGCCTCTTCTGCTCAATCTCGGCCGGCGACAGTCGCGCGAAGCCCTTAGGGATGGCCCGCGGCCCCATCCTGGCTACCGGAGCGGGGCCTCCACTGCCAGTGGTAGCCCCGGTCGGCCCTACCCCAGCCGCTCCTCCCGCGCCTCCACTACTCCCACTGCTCCCTCCCCCTCCGCTTGACTTCGGGAAACGGCCAATGGCGCTCCTCCAACTGGCGAGCTCTTCCTCCTTATGGCCTGCAAGTCGGAAAGCCGTCTTCAGGGAATCTGGCTCGAACACCCGGACTGCCGCCGCTATCTCGGGCTTAAGACCCGCCATGCACAGCCCCACCAAGGTGTCCTCTGAGACTCCCTTACACTGGTTCCCCAACTTGAAAAACTCTGCACGGTATTCAGCCACCGTGCCGGTCTGCTTCAGTTTTGCCAACTGCTCGGGCGCCCACCCATCTGACTTCCCAAACTGATAACAGAGCTCTTCCTGAAACATAGGCCAGGTGATCGAGGTGGCTGCAGCGGCGTAGGACCGTTCCATCCACTCCCACCACTGGAGCGCATCTCCCTCCAGATAAAACGACGCCAGATAGGCCTTCCTCTCCTCCGGGACCGGATGATTTCTAAACCATCTCTCTACTGCATACAACCAAAGACCTGCATCCTCTTGCCCATTGAATTTGGGAAACTCAATGGTCGGAGGCTTAGCTCGAAAAACGACTCCATCCATTCCCTCATAATTCATGTAATGGGACCCATACCTGTCATTCCTTGGAGTTCTCCAAGGCTGCCCGAAAGAAGAGCCCGGCATCCGGTTCGGATTCTCATGGCCATAGTCACCCGGATAGTTGCCCTGCAGGTTTGGGTACCCTCCTGGCGCGTGAGGCGCCCCGTACGGAACCTCCCAGCTGGCTGGTTCCCGGTAGTCCATCCTCCTGTACTGCTGGCCCGTCGGACTCGGGCGATGCCCGGTTCGACCCACTTCCGGTCGACCCATCCCGGTCCGGCCCGCCTCGGTTCGGTCAGCGTCGGTCCGACCGATCCCGGCTCGACCGGACTCGGTCCGACCCCCTTCGGTCCGCCCCATGGGGGCCGCCCCTGGTCGCCTAACCGGTTCTGTGGGCCTCCTCGGCCCATTCGGCCCCCTCTGATCCACCTCCGGTTCAGCCCACTGGGCCTGTCGGTCTGTCAGGCTAAGTTCGTCATACTCGGGCCCATCCTCTAGATCCAACCACCCCAATCCGTTATGGATCTTCGTGTATTGGCCCATCACCTCCGGTCCACTGTTCATAGGAGGCCCGTCTATGTCATAACCGGCCATCTTGGCCTTTCCTTTTCGGGCCGCAATCTCTTGGGCCGTAGGCGTCGGTAGCAGACCCGGGCCCACACCTAGCCCTACCTGCATTGGCCCTGTCCCCGCTCCGCCTCCGCCGGTTCCCGGCCCGCCCTCAGCCGTCGTCCGCCTGACCGGCGCCTGCTCCGCCGTCGCGAGCCCCGGCGCCGCCACTCCTCCTTCGGCGGCCGTGCTACCTCCACCTGCTGGGGCCTCCGCCGCCGAGCCCTCGCCGCCGGATCCGCCCGCCCCGACACCCGCCAGCGAGCCCGCGCCCCCGGCGGTGCCGCCGCCGCCTCCTCCTGCTCGCCCCAAGGCCTCAGCCACCATTGCCTTCAGCTCACCAATGGCGAGCCACATCCTCTGCGACTCCGCCTCCCGGGCTCGCGCTTCTGCCTCCCGAGCTCGTTCGCCCTTCAGTCGGGACCGACGCTCCTGCTCCATGGCCTCCGCCATTTTGGTCATCTCAGTGCGGAGCTCTTCTCCCAGCGTCTCATCCACCATCTCTCCATCCCGCAGCACCGGGACCTCACTACCGCCCTCACCCGCCGTCAGCAGTCCCGACGTGGCCCCGATCGCGGCTTTTTCCTGCGCTGCCGCCTTGGCGGCCTTCTCAGCTGCTTGCATCGATTTCGTCGACACCATCGCGCTCGTCGTTATTCGTTTGCTCCGGAACCCAAAAACGGGGCTCTGATACCAAATGATAGAACCCTAGGATTAGGTTCTATCGGGATTAGGGATTTGATGCAACAATAGAATCACCGAGATGGTGACCACGTTGCTTTTGGGGAAAAGAAGTGGAAAAGGGGATAGAAATGGCTAGGGAAAGGGGAAGAAGGTGCTGGTCGCCAGCAGCAGCCAGAAGAAAAGGAAGAGAGGAGGGCTGCGCAGCCAAGGGAAGAGAGGGGGGGAAGTGGGGTCGGCAGAGGGGAAGGGAGAAAGAAGAATAGATTAGGCTTTTTGATTAATTCTTTGCTTAACCCTAATTCTAACTTACAATAGTTTATATAGAAATGACTAATTTCCTACTACTACCCAATCTATAAATTATTCCCGAATAGTCCTCATAATCCGAATAATAATAAACCGACAATTAATCAAGTACTAAAATATAAGTTTCTATCACTCTGCATTCACCTTTGTCTCTGTGTCCCTCCCATAAATATCAATCTTCGTCAATTCATCCTTACAAGAGAAGTAGAGAACTATAGTGGGAAAGGATTCCAAGAAGGATCAGTGTCTCACATTTGAACTAAATCCTTCCAACTATCACTCATTTCAATGTAGGTATACATTATATGAAAAGAAACATTTCCATGTATAAATATATGTAGTTTGGTGTATAGTGTATGTATTTTTGTATAGTTTAGGATTGAGAATCACCCGATACAAACGAATAGGGGTGGCAGTTCGGTTATTTTGGTTATAACCGGTAATCGATCGGCCGGTTATCGGATAACCGAAATAACCATCCCCTACCAAAAATCGCCCAAAACAGGCTTCGGTTTCTCGGTTATCTCGATTTTCGGTTAATCGAACCACTTTTAAGACCAAAAACCATTTTGTCCAGCCTCCGATAAGCGACCGAAGTTCGGTTACTTTGGTTACCGGCTGACCGATAACCGGTAACCGAATTGTCACCCCTACAAACGAACCATTAAATTGATCTAGTTAATTTTGTTGTCTAATACACCCTAATATGATGATACAATTTAAAAGGAACGAAAGAGGGTTATATCCGACAATATACTAATCATTATACACGTAAAACGACTTAAAAGAAACCTAGATATGAGGTATAAATAACATCAATTTGGGTGTTTTCACGACAATTATATCTATCTACGTTTTTCGTACTTATGTCCAATAACCTCCTATATCTTTTTCTTAGGTGTTTTGTCGTTGTGAAAAACTCTAGGAAGACCGAGGGAACTACACTTGTGTACCCTCACCAACACACAAATCACCCTATGGTAACCCCTTTTGATCTTACCTTTACAACTTCCACATTGAGGACAATGTGTCTCTCAAGTGTGGGGGATGTGTGCTTTAACTGAATGTTTGATTGATCATTATGTTGATTATGCCATGAACCGTAGTAGCCTCCCTTGATTATGAATGTAAGACATTGATGATTGCTCGTGGGAGTACATACTTGATTGATTGTGTTTTGTGCTGATTGAATGGTCAATTGATTGGGTCTTGAACCTTGAATGTTATACCCAAAAAATTCAAAATTTGAGGGTTTCAAACACCTTGTTCCTTGCATTTACCTACTGAGTGTGCTTTGAATTGCTAGTTGGTTGATGTGTTGTGTTTTATAGGGAGTAGTTGCATGAGTAGAGTACCGGTATATGAAGAATTTTACTCTTATCTTCCTCTTTGGTGAGTTTATAACATTTGCTATTTAGGTTAGGACATATGTGTGCGGGATTCTCTACCCAATGTTGGACTTGAAAATATTTGCAAAAAATATGCTCAATTATGAAAGATCTTTTGAAAAAGGAGATTCTCACGTGGGAGGCAACCGAGCATAGTGTTTGAGTTAAGCCATCAAAGGGCTTTTCTCTATGTTTGGAGTGCCATATGAGGATGTGTTTAGGGACCATATAGATTTACCGCATCCAGATCATCTTTACTATTTTTCATCCCCCAAACACCTCTCCTCCTCACGAACTTATATGGAGGTACAAAGTACTTTTTAGCGGGTTACGAGACCTCGAATCTCGTTTGTACCGAACATGTGTGACAACCCAATGTGGAGTGCAGGCTGGGGAATGGTGTTAGGGCTAAGACGAATCCAACCATTGCGTTCCCCACATGTGACCGAGATAGGGAAGACAATGATTCTTTCCTTCTTGGTTATGAGGGAGAGATGCCAATTTTGCAACCTTTGCAAACTCTTGGTGCAAAACACATTAAAGTTCAAAAAGGAGATCGAAAAATGGCAACTACTACTTTGAAAGAAAGAAAGAATAAAAAGCACCTTCATTTGAGTCCATTGCTTTAATATTTTTGAGAAATCTCTTGATGCACACCTTGAATATCCAACCCTATATAGCCTATGTGGTCCTAATTAGGGATTTTGTGGTTTCACACTAAGAGGAGGGTAATGTTCATTCGTCTCGACTACTCTATCCCGTGCAATGAAGAACTATGTTGCATGCCGCGTTAATCTTTCTATCAAGTTGCACTAGTTTGAGTAGGTTTGCTTGGGGAAAATCAAAAGCCTAAGTGTGGGGGAAGTTGATAACACCCAAATTGGTGTTATTTATACTTCATATCTAGATTTCTTTTGAGTCATTTTACATGCATAATGATTTATATATTGTCGAACATAGCCTTATTTCATTCCTTTTAGACTATATCGTCATATTAGGGTGTATTAGACAATACATGTGAATTAGGTACCAAAAAGATCATAAGTGTAGCAAGGATGGGGAAAACTAAAGATCAGACCTGGCATATTAGAGTGTATTCACTATTTATTGCTAAATAACTAAAATAATTAACATGTCATTAATTTGTATTACGCGAAAGTTCTCCAAAGTTAACTACCCTTGGCATAACAGTTTTAACCATATGTTACTTTTTGAAATTGTATTTCATTATTAGATCACACATTCTGAAAGATTTATGTAGCAATGTTCTATAACATTTACGCAAATTACAAATTCATCAAATGTTAGTTTCTATAACTTGATTTTATTATTAGACCATAGAACAACATTCTATAACTGTTAAATAAACAACATTATGTAACAATTACATAAATTACAATTTCATTTGTAAAATTTGATAGACACTAGATAAAACTAAATTTTATAATGGGATAGCTATTAACACACTACGTAAACTTATAAACAAATTATCATTTTGTAAGTATCAATTAAACAAACCGATGACATGTGTTATAGGCTTTCTATAACATGAGTCTTCCGCAATAATTAAGTACACTACATAAACCTTATGCAGGATAGTTATTTATTATGCATCACTTAAATAAATGGATTACATATGTTATTAATAATGATTAATACATTATGTGAAATTTAAGTAGGTAACTATCTAAATAGTTTTGTGAATTCTAGTATTTCAAATAAATTTTTAGTTTCTTACCGCGTCAGTGCGTGGCCAAAAAACCAGTGAGCATTAACATAGCTAGTGAGTGATCATGATCAATCGTCATGAAACCTCTTCCCTCTGCGCCCTGCCTTAGTTCAGAAGCAAGTCATGGTGAAATCAAGAAATTTTCTTAAGGAAGTGATAGGATCACATGGCTCCCGATTAGAATGACATTTAAAAAAAACTCAGAAAATTACAAAATTGCTATTCGGAAAAAGTCTTCCAAATTAGCGATTAAATAGACTTTATGATCAGTGGAGAATAGTTTCAGGCCGAATTTGTGATCTGAAACCTTCAAAATCTAAGAAAATGGCCTATCTAAAAAATCGATGAAGAAATTACGAAAGTGCCCTCATAAGAAAAAATCATCAAATCAAGGACCGATAGACTTCATCATTGATGGAGAATAGCCTAAAGCTGAATCCGTAATCCATAGCCCTCACAATCCAAGAAAAAAATGTCTCAAATCTTGATGGCCCGGAAAAAATCCACCCAAATAGCTGCTTAATAGACTAATCATTGGTGAAGAATAGCCTCAGGCTGAATCTGCGATCTGTAGCGTTTAAAATTCAAAAAATGGTCTTTAAAAAAAATTGCACAAAAAATTATAAAAATGTCCTTAAAAAAATCCCCCCAAATGGGTGATTAATAGACTCTGTCATCGTTGGAGAATAGTCTCAGACTGAATCTGTGATGTGTATCCTTTAAAATAAATAAAAAATTGGTCTTTGGATAAAATACTCAAAATCTACGATGTTATCTCTTTGGAATCTGCAAAAAAATGGTCAAGGGAAAAATTCACCCAAATCATTGCTTAATAGACTTATCAACTGTGAAGAATAGCCTTAGACAGAATTCGTGATCTGTAGCCTTCAAAACCAAAAGAAAACGGAATTTTGAAAAAATTGCCCAAAACTATTGGAAAATGCCCTCTAAAAAAATCCACCAAAATCGTCAATTTATATACTTTATCATTGGTGGAAAATATTCTCAGACCGAACCAATGATCTATAGTCTTCAAAATCCAAAGTAATTTATCTTTCGAAAAAATTCCTGAAATCTATGATAGTACCCATTTGGAATCATCAAAAAATTTACATGGAAAAATCAACCCAAATAGGTGCTTTATTGTATTAATCCACGGCGAATAATAGCCTCAAGCATAATCTGTGATCTATAGACTTCAAAATCAAAAGAAAATGACATACAGGAAAAATCACCCAAAAATTCCAAAAGTGCACCCCGAAAAATATCCGTCCAAATTAATAATTAATTGAACTTTATCATCGGTGGAGAATAGCCTTTGGCCGAATCCGTGGTCTGTAGCCTTCAAAATCTAAAAAAATTGGTCTTTCAAAAAAATCACTCGAAATAGTGATCTCTTTGGAATCTGTTAAAAATGTACTCAGAAAAATCCTCCCAAATCGGTGCTGAATAAACTTACTCAATAGAGAAAAATAACCTCAGAACGAATTCATAGTATGTAGACTTCAAAATATAAAAAAAATACATTATGAAAAATGGGTGATTAATAAACTTTATCATCAGTGGAGAATAAGGTTGAATTCACGATCAGTAGCCTTCGAAATCCAAGAAACATAATATTTCAAAAAAAGCACCCAAAAATTATGAAAGTTCCATCGGGAAATTTTTCCCACAAATCAGCGATTGATAAACTTCATCATCTTTGAAGAATAACATAAAGTCTAATTCGTGATCCGAAACCTTCAAAATACTTGGAAAATAACCTTTCAAAAAAGCCTGAAAACTGCAATGATACCCCTTTTGGAATCTGCCAAAAATGACCCCGAAAAGTATTCGCTCAAATCGGTGCTTAATAGATTTATTCATCAGTGAAGAATAGCCTCAGACCCAATTCGTGATTTGTAGGCTTCATAATCCAAAGAAATTGGTCTTTCGAATATTTGTCTGAAATCTGGGATGCTACCCCTTTGAAATCTGCCAAAAACACATTGGCAGGAAGGAGAATAAGGTATTTAGCTACCTTATTGATAGAGTCAGAAGGAAAGTAAAATTATGGAAGAGTCGACTCTTATCATATAGTGGCGAATAGGGGACGGAAGGAAGGTCGATGTGCGGC